CCCCTCGCGGTCCTGAGTTCCTTGCTTGTGCTCTCTCTCCTTCTGCTTCTGATTTGGACCTTGAGATTTCAGTCCGGTGCTCCATTGTGGGTCTCTGTCTCTGTCTCCTTTCATCGCCTGATGAAGGTTAATATTCAGGAGGAAGCCTATATGATTTTCTTTCTTTGTATTGTTTTCTTTTTTTTCTATTTTGTTGATTTCATCTTTCAATTTGATTATTTCCTGCAATCTAGTTCTCCTGGGTGAGTTTGCTTCTTTTTGTTCTAGAGTTTTTGGTGTTCTGTTAACTCACTACTGTGGGATTTTTCCAGCTTCTTTATGTAGGCATTTAGTGTTATGAACTTTCCTCTTAACACTGCTTTCATTGTGTCCCATAAAATTGAATATGCTGTGTGGTTCTTTTCATTGATTTTAGAAAATCTTTAATTTCTTTCTTTATTTATTCCTTGACCCATTGATGATTCAGGTGAGCATTGTTTAATTTACATTTGTTTGTGGGATTCCTAAAATTAGTGTTGCAGTTGAATTCTAATTTTAAGCTATGGTGATCTGATAAGATTCATGGGTTATTTCAATTTTTTGTATTCTTTGAGGTTTTCTTTGTTACCTACTATGTGGTCAATTTTTGAGAAAGTTTCATGTTATACTGAGAAGATGGTATATTCTTTTATGTTTGGATGGGATGATCTGTAGATGTCTGTTAAGCCCATTTGAGTCATAACATCTACTAGTTCCCTTATTTCTCTGTTAATTTTCTGTCTGACAGACTTGCCCAGTATTTAGAGTAGGGTGTTGAAGTCTTCCACTTTAGTGTGTGAGATTTAACATGTGATTTAAGCTTTAGAAGTGTTTCTTTTACATATGAGGGTGCTCTTGTATTTGGGGCATAGATGTTCAGTATTGAGATTTCCTCTTGATGGATTTTTTTTCCTGTGACTAATATGAAATATCCTTCTTTGTCTCTTTTGATTGATTTTAGTTTGAAGTCTATTTTGTTAGATATTAGGATAGCTACACCAGCTTGTTTGGTAGGTTCATTTAATTGGGAATTTCCCCCAACCCTTTACTTTGATACAATGTCTGTGTTTGAGATTGAAGTTTGTTTCTTGTATGCAGCAGAAGGATGGATTCTGGTTTCTTTTCCAATCTGTTAGTCTGTGTCTTTTTATAAGTTAGTTGAGTCTATTTACATGAAGGGGTATCCATGACCAGTGATTGCTTGTTCCTGTTATTTTAGTTTTAATTGTTGGTGATGTTATTATGTGTGTTTTTCCCTTCCTTGGGATTTGCTGCTGTGAGATCATCTGAAGGGGTATCCATGACCAGTGATTGCTTGTTCCTGTTATTTTAGTTTTAATTGTTGGTGATGTTATTACGTGTGTTTTTCCCTTCCTTGGGATTTGCTGCTGTGAGATCATCTATTGTCTGTGTTTTTGTGGATGTAGCAAACTCCTTGTGTTGGGGTTTTCCTTCTAGTACTGTGCGTAGGGCTGGGTTTGTGGCTATGTATTGGTTAAATCTGGTTCTGTCATGGAATATCTTGTTTTGCCCTTCTATGGTGATTAAAAGTTTTGCTGGGTATAGTCTAGGCTGGAATCCTGACTTCTTAATGTCTGCATAATGCTTGACCAGGACCTTCTGGCTTTCATGGTTTTCATTGATAAGTCGGGTGTAATTCTGATAGGTCTGCCTTTATATATGGTGTGATCTTTTTCTTTTGCAGCTCTTAATATTCTTTTTTTTATTCTGTATGTTTTGTGTATCACTGCTTTTACCTGTTTGATTGCTTTTTCTTGGTTCATTTTAAACGATTTATTAATTTCTTCCAATTTTTGTTCATCTTTTTTTCCATTTCTTTGTAGTGATTGACTCATATTCCTCTCTCATTCAGCCTCTGTTTTCCTCTCCTTTGTCCCTGTCTTTACTTATCCTTCTCTTACTCATTTGTATAGCTTCATTTTCAGATGATCTCTATTTTCTTTTTATTTCCTTCTCCCCTCTTTTTTGAAAATTTTTACATAGCACACATATGTATTGTGTATCTCTACATGCCTTTCAATAGCATTTTTTCCCTATGGATAGCTCAAGTTCATTTTTCCTTGTGGTTGAATATTATGATGTTGTTTTAGGTACAATATTTTCTTTATTCATCATTTGACAAGTGGTACCTAGGCTACATCTTCTTGTGTAAAGTCCTGTGGATGTGGAATTGCAAAACCTATGTGGGGGTTTGTCCTTGGAAGAAACTACCTCTGTCCACAGGTTTAACCACCTGAGGTTCTTCATCTACAAGTTGAACCATGTGTACTTTCACTTATCTATGCTAATATGCCAACTGGTGTTATCATGATGTTAGCTTTACTTAGACAACCATATTTATGAAATTTATGAGAGCAATTCCCTTGTCATTTCTAGAGACACCTATATAACAAGAGGAATTCTAAGGAATTCTAATCCTCTGTCTCTTACAATCTTTTTGTGACTTCTGGGATTCTCTTGAGTGTAGGGATTGTACTGCAGATGTGTCAATTGGACTTTGTACCATAGGGTCACTTACTCTTTATATTTTTACCAATTGGGGATTTGTAAACCATGGAGAAGAAAAAATGTACATAGATTTTTTTCTATTGGGGCTGTCTTGACTATTAATAGATATAGGGAGGTTCACCCTACTATGGACCAGAATATCCTAAGCAGGAGGTCATAAAGTGTATAAGAAATCTAGATGAGCAGTAGTAGACCTGCAAGCCAGATAATAAGTCACATTCTCCTTTGTCCTTGTTGCATCTTTTTAGCTGTAAATTGCCTTCTTTCACTAGTGGCAATCTTGTATAGAATAGCAAGCAATCCTGGTTTCAAGTTTTTGCACTGATTCCCTAAGTGATAGGCTGTGATCTGGTACCATGAGCAAAAAATGAACCTTTTCCTCACCAAATTGCATTTTGTCAAGATATTAGCTGAAGCAACATAAAGGAGACTAAGATACCAAGTCCAATAAATGTTGCCAGTGTGTCCATCAGTGTGGGCCATCCACTGAAGCATGGGGAGCCTGCAAACATCTTCACCTTCAAAGAAGAGTGATTTTTCCTCCTTCAGCAGTTATCAACTGATCATAGTCCTCTGCATGGAGTAGGACCTAGAGCACCTTCCCATTTGTGTGAGAAATTGGCAGGCTTATTCTTTTTTTTTTAAAAGAAGCTAAAATGTATTTTATTTTACTGTTTTATTTTTTATTGATCTTTTCATTAAACATACCAGTCCAAGTTCCCACTCCCTCCCCTTTTCCCATTCCCTTCACATATTCTCCCATTCCTCCCCCATCCAATCCACAAAGAGAGTAAGGCACATTGCTTTGGGGAAGATCCAAGGCCCCAACGTGTCCTTCGAAAAGAATAGGTTTCAAAAGAGCCAGTGCAAGCAGTAGGGATAAATCCTAGTGCCTCTGCTAGAGACTCCTAAGTTTGCTCCAGCCATGCAATGGTCAACCACATTCAGAGGGAGTACTTTGGTCCTATACTTGTTCTTTCTCAGTCTGGCTGGAGTTGGTGAGCTCCCATTAGCTCAGGTTGACTGTTTCAATGAGTGTACTCATCATAGTCTTAAGTGCTTTGCTCATATTCTCATTATTCTTACTCTTCAACTGGACTTTGGAATCTCAGTCCAGTGCTCTGATGTGGCTCTCTGCTGCTGTTCCCATTAGTTGCTTGATGAAGTTTCTATGGTGATATTTAATATATTCATCAGTATGACTACAGGTCAAGTCAATATCAGGCCCCCTCTCCTCTATTGCTTAGGGTCTTAGCTAGGGTCATCCTTGTGGATTCCTGGGAATTTCTCTAGAATCAGGTTTCTCGCTAACCCTATAATGGTTCCCTCAATCAATATCTGTTTCCTTGTTCTCATCTCTCTCCTTCCTCCTTCTTGACTATTCTATTCCTTCAAGTTCTCCACACCACTCCCCTTCTCCCCTTATCTTCTCCTTCTACCCTCCCTTTTCCCCATTGTAGAAGGAGCGGTGGGCTGCATTCTGCTCAGCTCCCACATGGCTAGCTTTACACCTGAAATAACAACACACAAATTGTATTCTTTTAAACACTGATTGACCCATTAGTTCTAGCCTCTTATTGGCTAACTCTCATATCTTGATTAATCCATTTCTAATAATCTGTGTAGCACCACGAGATGGCAGCCTACCGGGAAGGATCTTAACCTGCATCCATCTTGGAGAGGAGAGCTATAGTGTCTGCCTCACTTCCCTTCTTCCCAGCATTCTGTTCAGTCTACTCCACCTATCTAAATTCTGCCCTATCAGGCCAAGCAGTTTTCCTTATTAATTAACCAATGAAAGCAACAGATAGGTAAAGACCCTCCTACATCACCCCACCTCCAAACTCCCAATTTTGTCAAGTGATCTTGTCTGTGTCTACTTTCCAGACAGATCTATATATGGTTTTCTTAGGGTTCACCTTATTATTTAGATTTTCTAGGATCATGAACTAAAGGCGCAATGTCCTTTGTTTATAGCTATTATCCACTTATGACTGAGTATATACCATATTTATCTTTTGAGTCTGGGTTACCTCATTCTGGATAGTGTTTTCTAATTACATCCACTGTACGCAAAATTCAAGGTGTCATTGTTTCTTACAGCTGAGTATACTGTAATGTGTAAATGTGCCACATTTTCTTTATGCATTCTTTAATTGAGGGACATCTAGGTTGTTTCCCAGTTCTGGCTATCACAAATAATGCTGCTATGTACACAGCTGGACAAATGTTTTCTAGTATGATTGAGCATCTTTGGGTATATGCCCAAGAGTGGTATTTCTGGATCCTGAGGTAGGTGATTCCCAATTTTCTGAGAAACCACCATACTGATTTCCAAAGTGGTTGTACAAGTTTGGATTCCCACCAGCAATGGATGAGTGCTCCCTTTACTCCACATCCTCTCCAGCATAAGCTATCATTGCTGTTTTTGATCTTAGCCATTCCTAGTTACTGTAAATAGAATAGAAATAAAACACAGATAAACAAATATCTGTGGAGTAGGATGCAGCATTCTTTGGACACAGAACAAAATGTAGCCTAGCTGTGTCATGTGAAAGACTCATCTTAGTGTTTAGAAGATTCTCCACACCTATTTCCTGAGTAGCTGCACAAATATGCATTTTCCTGAGAGTAAATGTGGATGTCTAATCCCCCCACAACTTCCCAGTCATTGATTCCCTGATTTTTAGATATTCTGACTGGGGTGAAAGAAAATCTCAACGTTGTTTTACTTTGCATTTTCCTATTTGCTAATGATGATGATGAATTTTAAGATATTTTTAACCATTTTTCAATTCCTCTTAGAACTCCATCTAAACAGTGATGCTTTCCTATTATCTGCATTTCCTTCGCCAGGAAGGGATGGAGTAAAAAGGGCTGGTTTAGTAAGGCAAGGAGATGGCCTCAAGTCATTTGTTGGTGGTGTCAATCCACTAGGGGGCACTGTAGGGTTCCCTAGAAATTATTTTTCTTATGTTGCCTAGAGGTTTGACGATTGCAGAGGAGACATAAGGCAATCTACTCACAAAGCAATGAGTAGGAGTGACTCTGTGGAATTCCCTAGTCTTAAGTTCTCAATTATTCTATACAAAACCTACAGATATCTAGAGCTTGTTCGCTGGATCTTATGTGTTAATAAACCTATTTTAAAAATAATTCTCTGAGCCGGGCGGTGGTGGTGCACGCTTTTAATCCTAGTACTCGGGAGGCAGAGGTAGGTGTATCTCTGTGAGTCTGGTCTACAAGAGCCAGTTCCAGGACAGGCTCCAAAGCTACAGAGAAACACTGTCTCAAAAAACCAATAATGATGATGATGATGATGATGATAATAATAGTAATAATAATAATAATTCTCTGAAGAGATGTAAGCAAAATAAAATCTCACTGGGCATCATAAGAATGGACAGTTAAGAGAAAACATCTCAACTGCTTTCATTTTTTAAGTTATATTTTAAAATTTTTCTAAATTCATAAAACTAGAAAATATCCCATTTCCTTTATATCATATATGATATATTCAAGATATCTATCTATCTATCTATCTATCTATCTATCTATCTATCTATCTATCTATCTATCATCTATCTATCCTCTGAACGAGAAAGAAAAAGAATAACTACTTAGAGAAGAAAACTAGGAAATACAAATTCTATAAAAGTACAAGAGAGCAGAGCTTGCTGACCGAGAGCAGTCATTCACAACCAGATCAGAATCAGACATCTTTCCTGCACAGCTGTGAAAAAGAGTTGTGCATAAACCAAGAGAAGGAAAATAAATCATGGTTAAAAATACAGGCAAGGCCATTTAAAAAAATCTATAAACCTGTCATTGGAAACATTTTCTATGCACATGATGATCTGATAATTTCAGGAAATATTTTTTTTTATTCCTTATAGTGCATTACATGCTGACTTGTTCCATTTATGATGTAAGGACTTTCTTGTTGAGCATACTGTAGTATGAGGAGTGGCAGGTTGCTTGTCCCGGCTGCCTGCTAGCTTAGCCCCCGAAACAACCACACAGAAATGTATTAATTAAATTACTGCCTGGTCCATTATCTCTAGCTTCTTATTGGCTAACCCTCACATATTAGCTTAACCCATTTCTAATAATCTGTATCATCACTTGACTGTGGCTTACTGGCACGAGTCCAACCAGCGTCCATCTTGTGCAGGAGAACCATGGCATCTGCCTGGTTCTGCTCTTCTTCCCAGCATCCAGTTCTGTCTTCTCTGCCTACCTAAGCTTCTACCCTATCAAAAGGCCAAGGCAGTTTCTTTATTTAACCAATGAAAGCAACACAAATACAGAAGAACCTCCTACACCAGGCATACTAAGCACATTGAATGGTGCCCATTCTGTAGATGGCCACACAGAATGAGCTCAATGGTGTTTCTGTATCATATTGCTTAGTTTGGATTTTTGTTTTTGCATTTATTGTTCTTTTGTCTGTATTTTATATACACCTGTCATGTTTTATGAGTTCTGGATGTGTGTTTCTTCTTTGTTATTATTTTTTAATTCTGGTGTGCTGATTTGCCTGTCTGTTTCCTTTCTAGAGAGAGGAGGCACACTGTTGGGACAGTGAGGAGGTAGAAAAAATTTAGGTGGACTTGGGAGATGGGAGACCATGATCAGAATATATTGTCTGAAATTCTTTACACAAAAAGATTTAAAAAAAATCTTGCTAAGATTCTGCAATGCTCTTTTAACTCACTGGTGACATCAGTTTTCACACCAGTATTCTGAATTTATGAATTCTCTTTCCTCACACATTTTGTCTCAAATTCCCCTTATATGAAATGCTACATTAGAAATATACAGTCCTGGGATCTGCCTCTTGGCCTCCAAGGTTGTGAATCATTTACCCTGTAGAGTCATGAGGTGAAGGGGGGTGGAGCTGTTCAGATGAAAGAGGAAGTTCAGAAAATCAGGGGGAACCTTTTGTGTGTAACACAAGCGTGTCTGCATAAATTCTTGATACCCTCACAGGTGGAGAGAAGACAACCTAGCAACTGGACAGGGGCCATGGAGAGTAAACTGGGAACTGTGCTGGGGATTCTGTGGGTGCAGATTTGCTGTGAGTTGTGCTCACCTAAGTTGTTTTAGGCATGGGATTCTGCAGAGATGTCAGTGGTGGAGGGGGACTGAGGCAATTCAAAGCGCATATGCAGTCACCCTCATGGTCTTTCCTGGGATGTTTGACAGGTGTGGGTGAAAACTCTTCATTGACTCTGGTTTGGTTTTCTGTTTCCAAGCAGGGGTGCGAGGAGTTGATGTGGAGCACAGTCCTTCAGACCTGAGTCTCCACGAGGGAACCAGTTCTGCCCTGAGATGCAATTTTTCTACCACCATCGTGAGTGTGCAGTGGTTCCGACAGAATCCCAGGGGCAGCCTGATCAGACTGTTTTACCTGACTCCTGGAACAAAGGAGAATGGAAGGCTAACATCAACATTCAACTCCATGGAGCGCTACAGCACCCTGCATATAGAGGATGCCCAGCTGGAGGACTCAGGCACCTACCTCTGTGCAGTGGAGGCACAGTGCTTTCTACAAGTCTTCAGCCTGGTCCCAAACTGCAGCTGGGTGTGCAGCTGCAGCCCTGACATGGGGAGACTCAACAGGAGGCTTTTCACAGCGGTGGCTTTATCAGATCCTCACCAATTACGAAGAAATTGTGAGGAAACAAAATGACCACAGCAGAAATTCATGCTTAAATTCAGATTGACATGTCATCGATTTGGATAAGCTTAAATGTTCGGAAACATCAGCCCACATGACTAAGATGTATGCTTTATTGCACCAAATGCTTGTGCTACTGTCACGAAATATACGCCTCTCTCACACATTCCAGAACCATTTGGATCATGTCTCAAAATTGGAAACAGGAAACATTCTATGTTTAGAGACCATAGGAAAACACTTACAGCTAATCTACTTCATATAAAGCTGATAAAAGATTTAAATTTGAAGATCTAATAGATTAAGTTGTAAAAGGCAAGATAAATCTTACTATTAAATTAAGACATCATTTCTACAGTATCTTGATATTTTTAAAAATATGCATTTAATTATGCAATATAAAACAATATTTCACATAAAATAATCAGAGACAAAAGATAAATGACAAACTAGAGCACTATATTTGCAATTTTTATCAGAATAATATTTGTAGAAACTGATTCTACCAAAATATTTACACATCTTCAATGTAATATATACACATAACTTCTCATTCAAAGATAGCTCTCAAAAGTAAAAGTGGAGCCCTCCTAAAGGTCACACAATAGGGGATTATTTCATTATACAGTAATTAAATATGATCCCAACCACTGCTTTTGCCCAAGGGATGGTATCTTATCTTCTACAGCTGAAAAATTCTGGCATGCCAGTTGTCTTTATAAGGAACTGGAAAACAGCTATGATCATTGATTCTCAAATTGTCTCTCCTTTGCTGTGTTCATGTTGAAACAGCAGCTGAGTGGTGAAAACATTGACTGGATTGGCTCAAATATTTACAGAGTTTACAAATTAACTGACCCCGCCCTTATGATTCAGTCAGCTAAATCGCCATTGCAACTACATTTTTTCCAAATATAGATTATATGAGCTTCCCAGATAATAAGAAAATCTTAATTCCCAAAAGATATAAGTGAGCATGGCTAGAAGTAATGGCAGTAACAGAGTTTACAGTAAGAATTATTGCTAGGGTATTGTTCTACTATTTCTGCCTTTATATCTTACTTGGTCTTTTTCCTTTGCAGTGTTTAATATTCTTTTCTTGTTCTGTATATTTACTGTTTTGGTTATTATGTCTCAAGGAACTTTCTTTTATGGCCCAATCTATTTGTTCTGTAAGTTTTTTTTGTACTTTTATATGCGTATCTTTACCTCCACACAAATCTAACTCCAGACCTTCATTTTCTCTTTTTGGAAAACAAAAAAATAAAAAATCAAACAAACCATAATATAACAAATAAAACACATGAGGAGCTCATATACATGCAAAGACACATGCATGCACACAAAAATATATAACACCACAAAACTGGTAACCATAATATATAAGAATGTAACTGATATGTTAAATAATGACTCAGATAAAGCATTAAAAGACCTAGAAAACAAACAAACAAAAATATATTTGAATTTATTTGAGTTGGCCATCTACTGCTGGGTATGAGACCTACCTTAAGTGTGGTTTGCATACCCAGGGAAATGTTCTTGGAGAAAACTAAATTTTCCCTTGTGAGCAATTTTCAATTGGAGATAGCTTCTCGTTTAGAAGCAGATAAAGTCCATTTCAGCCTCTTAGCACTGGGACCCCATCTGTATGAGACATGTGAGGGTCCTTTGCATGTTGTCATCAACTCTATAAGTTCATATGTGATACAATGTTTATGAATGGCATTATATCCTTAGTGCCTTCTATCATATAATCCTTTTGCTTCCTCTTTCACAAAATTCACTGAAGCCTGAGAGGAGAAGTTTAATGGAGACAATCTATTGAGAACTGGGTGTTCCAATGTCTCTCGTTCTTTGCATATTTTCCAGGTGTGGAGTTGTAGATCTCTGTGTTTGTTCCCATCTACTACAAGTGAAAGCTTCTCTGGTGATTGCTGAGTAACACATTGATCTATTGGTATAACAGAAAGTCATTAGAAGTCACTATATTGCTATGGATGTTTAGTAGGACAATGATATTTAGGTCCATAGCCTGTCTAGTCTCAAGTTTTTGGCCACCAGAGCAGTATTAGGCATGGATTCCATCTAATGGGCCCTAAGTTCATTCAGAATGTGGTAGGTCACACCAAGATCGACTGTCTCTTTATCATACCACTGTATCATGTATAGAGATCACCATTGTAGAACAAAGGACTTATAGCCGTGTTGTTGTTTACCTTTCTCCTCTGGTGACATTATATATATGCTTTGCTAGATTTAAAGACAGGAAATAGACTCACTAGTGTGTTCAAACACCATTCTTCATCTCTCAACACTAGAACACACTTGTCACGGCATATTTGTTTGTTAAGTGTCTGAGTCCCTCACATGTCAGAAAACACTTAAGCAGAGGCCTCACTGGTTAAGGATGCAACCACAAGGTGGTAGTAGACCTCAGCTGCTGGGGAGTATGCAGAGGACTCACTTCCTTGCATGCTGATTGTGCAGGCTTAGGGCAGAAGCACAGCCTTTTCTCTTTGGCTGAGTGGTAGAATTAAGACTTAAGAGGTAGAATTGTTCCTTAGAAAGAACAACATCCTGATAGCAGCAGCTGACCAGCTAGTCATCACAATTTATACTGGGCCTTAATTTATTTGAAAAGAATAGTGAAGACAAATGTTCCTTATTTATTCATGTTTCTGTGACTGCAGTGGCATGGTGAGCTAAGATTTTAGGGGTACAGAATAATCTGTGGGCATTTCTGACACATCCAGAAGGCACTCCGTGTTAGTCAGATTTTCTCTACTACTGTTTAAAAGGAGAGAGAGAAGAAAAGAAAATTGGGCAAAGTGATGAGGTGACCACCTTTCTCCTTTCTTTCCATCTTTCTGCATAGGGAGGAGCCAAGGAGAGCAGGTGGAGCAGCATCCTTCTACACTGAGAGTCCAGGATGGAGCCAGCGCTGTCATCAACTGCACATATGTTACACAGAACCACTCACAACTTCCTTTGGTATAAACAAGGACTTAGAGAGCATCCTAAGCACATTGTTGACATTCATTCAAATATGGAAAGAAAAGAGGACTAAAGACTGATAGCTTTACAAGAAAAGAAAGCCAAACACTTCTCCCTGTACATTACAGACACCCAACCTGGAGACTCTGCCATGTATTTCTGTGCCACAGATACCCACTGTTCCCCAGTCACATACAGCCTGTCCTCAAACATGCCACAGTGCCTGGAGCCCCATCAGCATCCTGTATCACAGGCCTTCCAGTGCAGCATTTGCCAGTTGTTATTGGGCAAGTGCCAACTACGGTGTGGACATTAAAACACAAAACAAGGAGGTTAGCTTCAAGTACCTGAAGTTCTTTTGTACTGTTTTTCTCCTTTTTTTTTTTAAATTATTTTAAAATTTGAAACACAGGTTTGTCATTCCCGTCCCCTGGTTGCAGCACATGATTTCTGTCATAGACAATCAGAACTCACGTTCTTCAGAGAAGAAGATGCTGTAGCACACCTGACCCAGATGGGACACATCAATCACACAACCTCACCCCGCAGTCAAAGATCACTGAGGAAGATGGGATGGGAAGAATGTCAGAGCGATAGGTGGGGGATGAGTACAAGGAAAGAGTGTTTTCTGGACACAGCAGGACAGCTGCCCACCTATATTCACAGGTTTACAGCACATGTAAGACTTGCAAAGCATCAGGGCAGACACCGTTTGATCAGGGGGTGAAGGTGTGCATTCCCACCTTTAGCTAGGAAGCTATGTGAAGTAGTTGCTGGGAGAGAGACTTGGGTTTCTTTAAAAGTAAATTCCCTAGTGCGTAGACTGCCCTCCAGTGAAGACTACACATCCAAGAGTATATGGGCATCACCTCCTGAAATGCAAACCTTAATGTGTTTGTTCTATTTTTTAAATGAGTGGACACAACTGGGTTTATAGAGAAGAGTGGATGGAGCTGGCAGGATGAAGGGAGCAGATGAGCATAATCAAAATTAGTTCCATAATATATTCTGAGAGCTAATGAAATGGGAAAATAGATAAATTTTGTCAGAAATGTGTGTTTGTGTGCATATGTCTTATTTTGTGCATATTCATCATACTAAATACCAAAGGCTACACATAGTTCAGTAACACTGGTAATTTCAGGAACCCACTGGGGACTTGAAACCTGTCTCCTTGGGTGAGGTTTCAAGTTTATTCACCAGGTGTTGTGCAGTTTGAACAGAAATCAGCAGAGGGCGATGCCTCTTCAGGTGGTGGCTTTACTTCACAGACTGTCACTGTGCGGAAGGAAGTCTTTGTTTATGAGTTTCAATAAGGTCCTGAGGAGACTTGCCTGTGAGTTTGGTGAACTCAAGAACAAAGTGTCATTTGATTTCTATGAAAATGCTTCCTGACACCTGCGCAGTCCTGGTGCTCCTATTAATGCTAGGTAAGTTACATTTACCCTAAGTGGTGATAATGTCATTTTCTTACAACTATGGAAGCTATTACCTACTTCCTTGTATAAAGAATGATTTCTCCTTATTGATTTATTACTTATTTTCAGGGAAGAGCAATGGAGACTCAGTGACCCAGACAGAAGGCCTGGTTACTGTCACAGAGGGGTCACCTGTGTTGCTGAATTGCACATATCAGACTACTTACTCAAATTCTTACTTTTGGTGGTATGTGCAATATCTCAACAAAGCCCCTAGGCTACTCCTGAGAGGCATCACAGACAACAAGCGGACAGAATACCAAGGGTTCCACGCCACTCTCCATAAGAGCAACAGCTCCTTCCACCTACAGAAGTCCTCAGCGCAGCTGTCAGACTCTGCCCTGTACTACTGTGCTGTGAGTGACACAGTGAGGGAGACTGTAGGGGAAGCTGCACACAAACCAAGGGTGCAGGAGGGCTGAGGGAAGTGGCCCTGTGAGGGAGAGCTGTGTATGTCTCTAAGTGGGGTTTGCTCAGCCTCCTGAAATACAGAAATAAATTTCAGTCAAATTCCTAGAAAACTAGAAATTTGTCGATACTCTGACAGGATAGTTTAAAAGTCATTGCTACAGACAACTGGGGCATTGAACCCTAGAAATATTGTTTTCTCCATAAGTGGAGGACCTCTCACAGAAAACATCTCTACCAAGATGTCTTACAAAATTTAGTGACTGATATTTTCCAACAATATTTTGTTACTAGCCCACAAATTTATGACCCAAATGAGGAACATAGTCTTTGAAAATCTCCTTCAGTCTCACACCACAAGTTACTTAGATTCTTCCTCTTCTTGGTCCATTTTAAAGAGAGTTCAACCTGACTTCTAGTCTCAGTTACTGTTCTATTGCTGTAGAGATAACCATCACCAAGACAACGTGTAGAAGAAATCATTTAATTGAGGTCTTGATTAGAGTTTTAGAGGGTGAGTCCATGACCATCATGGTGGTGAGCTTAGTAGCAGGCAGGAAAGCATGGAAGAGTAGGTGAGCACTTCTTTCTGATCATAAGCAATAGCCTAAGAGAGGGAAAGACTGGACCCAGATTGGGCTTTGAGATTCCCAAGCCACCACCAGTGATATCTCTGATGAAGCAACACTTACTGACCCTTCCTACACAGTCCACCAACTGGGAACCAAACATTCAGATTATATGAGGGCCAGTCTCACCATAACCTTCACACTACCCAACAGCCTTCACTTTGTGCAGCTGCTCAGGAAATAGAGCTGTTGGCTCTCTCAATATGATGCCCCGAGAGCAGCTGCTTCTCTTTCCTACATGCCGTGTAGGAGTCAACCTGTTCATGAAAGACTCTTTTGAGAAATCTTTTCCCCTTCATGTCCACTCTCATCCTCTACTGTGCTTTGCTTAAATTCTCATCATGTGGTGTAGTCACTTGCCTGGGATTAGAGTTAGGTTGTCTTATAATTCTTGTGAAATATGGAAAAGGAGGCCAAGTTTTCGATCCATCTCAATTTTGGAACCAGAATACTGATTTAAAGTAACATGCTTTGGTACTCATAGTTATCTCTCTGTAAAGAAAGAAAGATCTGAAATCAATGGCTATGAAGCCCCTCAAGGAAGTTTTGTGTTTGTGTACACAAAGAGCAACAAAATAGTACATATCTTGGCCTGGATGGATTTTAGCAGAATGATCATCAAAAGGATGAGAGTGACATCACTTAGCAGCTGATAGGAACAGATGCAGAGCCTCACAGGCAAATATTGGGGGGAGTTTGTGGAGTCCTGCAGAGGAGGGAGAGAAATGATCAGAAGAATCAGTGATCAAGGGCACTACTAGAACACAGCCTACAGAATCAACTGACTGGGTCTCATGCAGGCTCACAGAGATCAGGGCGCCTATAGAGGTCTGACCCTCTGCATATGTTATGGCTGAAGAATTTAGTGTCCTTATATGACCACAAACAGTGGGAGCAAGAGTTGTCTCTGATTCCTTTGCTTATTTATGGGACACTTTTCTTTGTACTGGGTTGCCTAACACAGCCTTAATGTAATGGTATATGCCCGGGTTATTGTAGTTTGTTATGCTGTGTTTGGTTGATGTCCTGGGAGGGCTGCTCTTTTCTGAGAAAGTACAGAAGGGGATGAAACTGGGGAAAAGGGGAAGTGGGGAGAACTTTGCATGAAGGAGAGGTAGAGGGGCTAGAGTAGGAATGTAGTACATTGCAGAAGAATTTTTAAAAAAATATTAAATGCATAGAATGTGAAATGATCATATCAGAGTAACATGTTGAGAAAGACACTAGAAAATGGAAAATCCTCTAATGTTCATAAATTAGCAACATTAACATTGTGAAAATAACCACTCTACTAAAATTTATTAAGATTCAGTTCAATCCCAATAAAAATCCAACAGTATCCTTCACAGAAATAAGAAATAAAAACTTCAAAATATTCATATGGACGTTCTCAGAACAGGAAATAAAGAAGACCAAAAGAGAAATGCCCCATGGCATATAATACTTAAAACATGAAGTATACTTAGGAAAGAAAGTATTATGAAAACTGCAAGAGAAAAAAACAGTCATATAAAGAAAGAAATTCATATCATCTATTAATAGTTGACAGTTTTAATACCACCACTTTCTAAGGTAAACAGTTCACCTGGAGAAAGTATTAAAAGAGAAACATCAGAATTAATTAAAATCCTACAGCAAGTAGACTTAATGGATACCTACAAAATACTCTACCCAATGCCAAAGAATGAACATTCTACTCAGCAGCACATGGAAGATTTTTTTTTAAATGGACCATATCTTGGGACATAAAAAACCTTTACAAGTTCAAAAATTTGGAAATCACTTCTTGTATTCTATATGATCATAGGTCAATAACACACACACACACAATAACTAACTAACTAAATAAATGACAGAATTTCATAATTTTCTATATCAAAATTGGGTTCTGTTGTGCATACTTCTTTTCCTTCATTTTCCCCATGCAGTGCATCCCATTCACAATTCATTCCCATCCCTTCAAAGTCTACCATCCTACCATTTAATCCCTTCCAAATAAAAAATAAACCAAGTTCAATTCATTATGCCCATATACTCATTGAAGCATAGTCAAAAACACAGTGGCCAGACCCTTAACAACAACTGGGTTTTACCTCCCCCGCCCCCCTTTCTGGAAGCCATCATCTGTAATGAGCTAAATACATGGAGCTTAAAACCTAAGAAGACTGAGAGAATCCCAGTGTCCTGAAGGGAGAAAGTGAAGTGCATTATATAGACTTAGCTGGGTGAGCAAGTCAGTTTCTGCTAGCCAGTAATGGTTTTTTTTTTTTATAATTTTTTTATTGAAAAAAAATTTTCCACCTCCTCCCCGCCTCCC